TGTGTCACCTGTAGGAACACTTGACACCTCAGGGCTTTCTCAGTTACCCAGACTCACTGCCCTCATGCCCACCGTGCTCACTCTTGCTCCCTACCACCACCAGCCCCAGGGCTTACACACACTCCATTCCTGTGCAAGACAGTGGGTGGATATCTTGGGATGGGTAACTAGGAGTGTCCCGGAGAGGGGTCTTCCTCACTGCTGTGCCGTTATCCAGCACAGTGGGCTTCAACATGGAGCATGGGATAACTATTTATGGGGTGACTGTATAAATGCATCAAGAGCCTGAACTCCAAAACTGGCTGGTGGCGCATACCTGTAATCCCAGCAGCTGGGGAAGCTGAGACAAGAGGATCGAAAGTTCAAAGCCAGCCTCAGCAATTCAGTGAGGCACCTAAGCAACTCAGTGAGACCCTGTCTCTAAATAAAATACAAAACAGGGCTGGGGAGATGGCTTCACTGATGGCTGGGGAGATGGCTCAGTGGTCGAGTGCCCCTGAGTTCAATCCCCGGTAGCAAGAAAGAAAAGGAGCCAGAACCTCTTCAGCTCTGATAACAGGAAACAGGGGAGCAGCACCACAGTGGCCCACCTAGAGCAGAACAGGCCAGCGCCAATTCAGCCCGAAGAGATTCAGAGCATCCCAATGCTGAGGCCACTAAAAGGAAAAAAAGGAGAAAGAACTAAAACCTGTGTGGAAAGGGAGAGGCAGAAATGAAAAGCATCCACTACTTGCTAAATCAGCACTTGCCAATCACTCGCTACACAAATTAATGCTGCACAAATTAACTAATTTAATCTTCTCGGTGCTATTACTTAAAGTACTCTTACAATTTCGTTTCCAGGTAGGGAGACTTAGAATCAGAGAAGTTAAACTACTTGCCCAGAATCACACAGCTAGGAACTGGCAGTCATGTTCTATACTGAGAGAGAATCTGATTCCGAACTGCAAGATCTCAGACTGCATTTACCAAAATGTACCCTGCAGAATACACTATCTCCTCTGGGTAACTGGGAATTGTATCATGAATCCGTAAAAACGAAAGCAGGTGGTGAAAGGCAAAGTTAAAAAATGGTAAGTTAATTGAATTTTTTCTTCTTATTTATTTATTTATTTATTTGTTACCAGGAATTGAACCCAGGGTTGCTTAACCACTGAGCCACATCTCCAGCCCTTTTTATTTTGAGACAGGGTCTCTTTAAGTGGCTTAGAGCTTCACTATGTTGCTGAAGCTGGTCTCAAACTTGCAATCCACCTGCCTCAGCCTCGGGAATTGCTGGGATAACAGGCGTGCATCACCACACCTGGCTTAAGTGAACATTTTTACTGAAAACTTTTTTTTTTCAGAGTTTTGAGACTGCTAATGACCATGAGGAATCTGCAAGAGATGACATGAGTGTTCCACACTAGGGACGGGGATGAGATCCCACTTTGAGAAGCAATGCCCTGGTCTGAGCTCCTGGGTTGGCCTGGGGTCAGTGGAGGGAGCATGTGACTAACAGGCCAATGCAGCAGAGGATCTGGAAAACTCTGCAGCCACTCAGAACTCTGTACCTCGGCCCTCCTCCTGCAGAGTCCAGTCCTGGGCCTCCCCTGCTCCTACCTGTGCAAGACAGGAAAGGCCTCTGCAGTGGCCCAGGGCTCCCCCCAGCTGTGCCCACCTGCTGCTTTCAGCAGGGCGTCTTTCTTGGTGGACTTCACAAAGAAAATTTCTCATCTGAGTTATTAATTCTTCCCTTCAATTCTGAACTGCTGTCCATCCCTTCTGCAGGGAGATTTGGCATTAAATCATTACAAAAAGAAAAAAAAAAAAAAAGATATACTTCCTTATCCTAATCTCAGAAAGAATTCGTATTTGAAAGCCTGAAGTTGATGGCTATTATATTTCACGGACAGAGCATTAATGATTCGTTTCAAGATAACAAGTTAAAGAAATTGGAGCCTCATTTTAGAGGCCAGGTAAGGCACTTTTCTTCTAACTGCTTTTGAGTCGATTACATGATGATAAGTGCAGGCTCCAGAAAACCCTGTTGTGCAAAGTTCAGTAAATATCTTTAAGCAGAGAGAGCAATTACAGCCCAGCAACTACTTCTTGAGTATTTTAAGTCTTCTAACTATTCACACGAACATCTAAGATAATCAGAGGCCACAGGGGCATTTCAAAGGTCAAGCTAGAAAGCTGGGTTCAAAATTCTGACTACCTGTGACAGCCAGAGCCCAGGGTTCTATGGCAATGGATGATGACTTGAAGAAGTTATGTATGCAAGAGTCCTACAGGAGTAACATCAATTAGCAAGTATGTCTGAGGTTCCTAATCACCAAACAAAATCCCCCAAAATATTGCCTTCCTTATGTCACTCATCTGCTTAAGAACTTTCTATGGCTCCCTGTTGCTGAGAAAACAAAGTTTAAATTTGGTAGAATGGTATGGAATGACCTCCATAATCTATCTCCAATCACTTTATGACTGCAATGCACTAAAATGCCCCATGCTGGGTCCTCCTTCTCCACCCACCTGCCCACCCCACTGCAGACCACCTCTGTCACAGAAGCCTCTTCCACCCCCTTCTAGCCCATATTTGTCCTCTGGAACTCTGAAAGTGCTTTTCAACAAGTTCTATTCCTACAAAGAATAAGATCCCCACCACAAACCCACTACATTTGTGTCTCTTTTCAGTTCAGGAGTGAAAAGGACTTCTCTCTGCTGCTGACAACTTGCACTGGATCTCAGCAATTCTCCTATTTTCTGGAAGATGAAATGCTCTGCATCTTCCACGCCTATGGTTTATATTTCACCCAGTCGTGTCAGCCCTGATAGAGTGACCTCCCATTTTTATTGAGCAGCCCACAGTGTAATGGATGACATCTGCTGGGGCTGATATTTTAAGTGAAGGCTATTCTCAGCTCGGCCTGCTCTCCCCAGGGCTCTGTATAGAAATAGCCAACAGCGGCTACACCTCAGATACAAAGTGGGGCTACTCACGAAGGCCCTCTACCAACCCCATAAAGCCATGAGATTTTTCTGGAAGGATTCATCTGAGCAGACCCAGTTTTTAAGCCTGCAAGCTCAGAAAAGCAAGCAGGGGATAGGCCATCAGTTCTAGGAGAGAAAAATCCTTGTTTGCATCTTTTTCCTAAGCGATTTTAAATATCGGGTTGTTTTGGGTACTTAAAGTTTCTGTGTGACCCCCTGTGCCAACAGAAGTAATCATTTGTACTCCCAGTAATGAAATGATACCCACCTTTCATGTACTCCCTTCTCCTATGTACATTAGAAAAAAATAAAAATGTCTGTCCTGGTAGGGGTTTTATACTTGTTTGCAACCCGGGGAGAAGAGTACATCTGACAGCTATTTGATCCTTGTAGGACAAGAACCTATTTCTGGTTCTTAACTTAAAAAAAAAAAAAAAAAATCAGTTCACTGTAACCATCAGTCGAGTTGCCTTTGTGAGCAAAAGCCTGCTAGGGACATCTGCAGAAGGGCTCATTTATCAGACAAGGACAGGGAATTTGGAATTTGTGGCTCAGCATCTATGAATATTCTTCAAAAACCAAGTTTTATCCTTTTAAAGAAACTTCTCCAATTTTGATCATTTTTCATGGGAAATCCCTAAACTAAATTACTAATACCTTCATACACATCAGGGTGAATAATTGAGATGTTTCAGTCATGGTTAGATCTGGAAAGCCGTGAGGCCTGGCAGCCCAGGGCATGGAGAACCCAGACAGCCTAGAAAAAAAATAGTCTTCCTGTACACCCACCTTCACACCCCTAGAGTCCCCACCTGCCGAGACCCATGCTGCTTCTCCCACCCATTAACATATCCCACCCACTGCAACCGACCTGCTCCTCTCTCCCTGCTCCTCCTTGCTGAGCTCCCCTGGGGTAGGCACCTCAGCTTCTTTGCTCTCTCCTCAGTATCTTGGTGGCTTGTACAACCAGGATGAGCTCAGTAAAGATTTGAGAGGGATAGGATGGTTGAATGCATGCATGAATGCACAAACTATTGCACTCTTTCAAGGCATAAGTCAAAAGCATGTATGAAAAATTTAATACTAGTTCTGTTGATAGGAAATCCAGAGTCCAGAGTGAGTGGTCAATTAAAGTGACAAAGCAGAGGGCAGAAAAGGGCACTCCACACTAATGACATATCAATACCTCCCTTCAAAGTGACCGTGCTGTCCCATTTAGTACTCAAGCCATGCACTAAAGCTGATTCTCAGAAGCATGGGCCCTCGGAGACACAGGAGGCAATATCTTCCTCTGAGTCTCAGCGTCACGGCAGGAATGTACTTCAAGTGCAACCTACCATCATTTTCAGCAGCAGGGTCTGTGTCAAGAGCAGCCCCACGTGGAACGATGGGAGCAGGGACCTGATTCATGGCAGGTCCTTGTTGTGTCTTAAATAACTCACATGAGGATGTGGTTAGTGATTTACAACAGCCATCAAGCTACTATTCTATGCCTGCTGGGGTGTATGGAAAGAGCCCTCTGAGGACCCAGTGAAACCCAAATGGTCAGTCAATGCAGAAACAGATTTCTATTTAGGAACCATGAAGTAGGTACTTAACAAATGAAGTATCAGTGTCCTTCAAAACCTCCAGGATCAACGTTTTCCTTAGAAAATTTCATTTTTATGGCTCATGTGAATTGAAGAACATTTCTAGGAATGGGTTCTGTGGCTAAAAGCACTAGATTCAGCCCACAATTCACCAGCTCAGTCTGATAATCAGTCCACTATTTTTGTTATTCTAAACAAAACTAATCAATGATTGTACTGGTCAATTCAATTTAAAAAAACTGTCTAAATTTGTCCTAGACATAACCTTAAATAACCACCTTGATAAAATAATTGTTATTACCCTACTCAATTCGGTCCCCCAAATCAATAAAAACAAGACAGCTAGCTGGCCTTTGTGAGCATTAACTCAGCACACGAGGAAGGAAAAGACAGTATTTCTCATAGACTATACACAGCAAGACATGTTGCATTCCTTACCTTGGTCAAAGGGCTTGTTGGGATTCCAGTTTCTGAAATAATCATCCTAAAAGGAAAAAATAGAAAACGAAGGTCAGGTTTCAGGAAGCTTCTCACACAACTGCATAAACACTTGTCCTTCTCCCCATTTTCCAAAACACAAAGGAAAACACAACTTGGAAGTCTTTCCCTAAATAGGCATTAATGTCCAATCAAAAATACCAATTTACTTTTCAAATTTTTATATTTTATACTGTATGCATTAAACACTTAAAATACCAAAAACATTCCAGTCCAAAATGGAAACAGCACTGCTCTTCTTGGTTTGACACATAAACCCAGACACCTTCTATGATCGAGGTGCATTTGCTATCAAGTATACCACAGGTGCTGCCTGGCTGCTCTCACTTATGATTAAGCCTCTGGGTTTTTAACAGCTGATAATTCAACTGTCAACATTTCTTTTACATAGAGGCATGTATCTTGCAGTGCAGTTTCAGCTTTCCAACACTCACAAAACCTACACAGAGGGCCATTCAAACGTTAGAATTAAGCAAAGCACACATTCAGCTTAATACCATCTGTTCTGGGCATGCAAGGATGGAAAAATGAAAGGCCAGTCAATCTAGTCTATTCATAACCACGTCTGTCTTGCACATAGTTTGCATCGATTTATTCTCCAAGGCTGGGCACTTTGTTACTTTGAAATTGTAAGAGCTAGGTCACTCACTGCTTCAGAGTTATATTAATCCCTTATCCACATTTTTTTTTTTGGTACTGGGGATTGAACTCAGGGGCACTCGACAACTGAGCCACATCCCCAACCCTATTTTGTATTTTATTTAGAGATAGGGTCCCACTGAATTGCTTAGGGCCTTGCTAAGTTAATGAGGTTGGCTTAGAACTCCAGATCCTCCTGCCTCAGTTTCCTGAGCCACTGGAATTATAGGTGTGCGCCGCTGCACCCGGCTTCTTCCCCACTTCTAATAACCCTTCCCTTCAGATAGCCACTCAACTTGGTCCTTCCCCTCCACACTTCTTGGCCCCACTGTTCCCCAGTACATCACTGTCAACAAAACTGAATAGTTTGCCAGAAGAAGAGATGTCACTCCTTCCTATCGACCTCAGACTGTATCTAAGGCCTCGGCCACTTTCTAGTTAATATCCAGCTTATTTGCTCTGTTTTTGGCAGATGCCTTGCATGCTGCAGATACTTTCAAAAAGATTTTCAAAATAAGGCCTCAATTTCTCTTCCGGAGAAGTTAATTTACATCAAAGTACACAATTAGTTTAAATTATTGTCCAGACTGTCTCCTGCTGCAGTTTATCTCCAACAAAATCTCCTGTGAATTTTATCAGCCTCTGTGTTGTTCAATTACCTGGCTTTATTAGATCCTTGTTGAGTTCACCTAAGCCTTTAAATAGATTTTAGGAAACTGGATTTAGAGTAAAATCAGAACATATTGCTTCTTGGCCAGTGACTCCATCTTCCAGAGCATGAATAAACATGAACGGGTTCCTCTGGATCCTGGAGATGCAGCATTAAACTATTTTTAACTCCAAGGAATTGGCCCACTTTGTTCTGGCTTTAATTTTCTGGCATAACTGACCTCCTCACCCAACTGGTTAGGGAGTCTCCAAGATCTACACCATGAAATATCACTGAGAAAGTTTAAAACAATCTCTCTTCAATATCTCCCTCCACTTTTTATTTCTTTTTATTTTGAAATTCTGCTAAAACTTGGACAACCAGTATTAAATTATTATTTTAACTTAAGGACTGAATGGTGGGTAAGAAATTTAGAACCTGATGTCTCGGTCTGACGCCAGTGTACTCTTACCTGACACAACCCTCTTACCAATGGATGGTGCTGTTCACCAGGGTAAGAGAAGAAAGAACTCAAAATGAACTTGTTCTTACCACCGGAGGGAAAAAAGTAACACACTGTCCATCCTTCCAACTGCAGTTTATCAATGCTCTGTCAAACACACAGGGGACAGTGCCATGTCCAATGGCAATGTGACAGCTTATGAAACCTTTTCTACTTGAGTATGCTGTGCTGATACATAGAAGCCCTTGGAAGCTTGGGATATGTGTCTGACAGGGAAGGGCTGGAGCCAAAGACCAGTCCCTCTGCTTCAATTTCACATGTCACATTCTCTTTGATGTCAAAGAAAGGTTGGAGCAAGTCTCAAGAACTGAATATTCTCTAATCATCCCAACACACTCCATAACTGGGAGGAAATATTCTTCTGGACCTTGTCACTTTCCCAGGTTAACTACGATTGTCATTTTATATATTTCTTGGGGAAAACCATGGTTTTAAATGTATACCCTCTTAAAGCAGATATTTGCATTCGAATATTTAAAACCTACTGCAAATGTACTAACACTGCCTAATTACTGTCAAAATGTGAAAGAACACCTTGAGTAAAAACTCATTATGCAAAATAAGCCCTTCAAACAGTCCCTTGCCCAGCAAGGCCAAACAGGGAAGGAAACTTATTTCCTACATCTGATTGCTTCTGCTCTGCCTCAGGAAAGGAGATTGCCAAAGCAAAAACCAATGAGCCAGAAGCGGGTGAAATCTTGGGTGTCACGGCTTTGGCTGCAGCTGATAGAAAAGCCCCATCAGGGGTCAAGATCTTGAGTACGTGTAAATATTCTACGCACCAGAGCCCACTTGGGGGATGGTCAATGACCATGGGGGAGGGGACTCTGCAGTCACTGCTGCTGTCAAGGTCACAGTATAAGCCATTGAGGCACACGTGATCACCCTTCCACACACACCAGCCACACAGTAAGTTCACACAGGCTGGGGCTGCTTAGATGAATTCCATGAGTCTGGGAGAATTGCTGGTAAGGCAACATCAAACCTATGTGCAAAAACCTTAAAATAACAGAAGGCATCTCCCAGAGTTTCACCTCCTGACAATTTGCTAATCCTTGTGCCCTGCCTAAAAATGGAGTCTCCCAGGACATAAAGACAGTTGTATGTGGTCTTGAACCAATGCTCTACCAATACCACAGCTAGTCACTTCTCCAGGGCCTATGACCCAGGAGACATAAGCCAAGCTTTTATCTTACTTTCTAACTTAGTTAAAATATACAGGATATATGTGCTATTGCCAGTTCTTTTGTTTCCACCCCCGGAGACAGTGTGCTTATTCCCACACACCTAACACTACATTATCTGAAAGTGTGTTCTTGTAGCCTGGACCTCAAAGTCTAGTCCAGATGTCAGCAAGGTCCAGGACTTTAAGAGCTCTTATCTCTGACCTCCCTCATGGCCCATGAAAGTTGCAGCCTATTGAAATTCAGACTTTGGTGAAAGGCGTATTGGGTAGATGAAACTTGTCAGATGAAATGTGTCTGAGTTGGCCTCTTGACTGGTAATTTTATCATCTAGTGATGAAGCTTTTTTTTTTTTTAAAGAGACATGCAGGGACCACAGCAACAGTTAACTAAAACATAAACCTTACTAGAAAGATGCATATCTAAATATAGCCATTTATTAAATTGAATAACTCCCATTAATGTATTATACTGGTTTAGCGATGAAGGATGGCAGTGTTACTCCCCATGTATATTTTATGGTCCATGTTGCAGAACATAATTGTGTCAGGCCTCCACTGGACAAAGTGGAGAACAGTTTGTTCTAAATTCTAACTAACCCATAGGAGGAAAGGCCGATTCCATTCCACTAGAACATTTTATAATTGAAAGTCATCCAACTCTTTTTTTTTTTAGGGACTGTTAAAAATACAGAAGAATCTATTAATTTAAACAGAGACTCAAACTTGAGCACACTGATGGATGTCCAAAATAATGAAGTATTCCAGGGCAGCAGGAAAATAATCCTAAAAAGTCAGCACAAAGATCATAGCAAGAAAGTGCTGAATCATTACAAGTCTAGGTAAGGATGAAGGAAGGAGGTAGAGTTAAGGGTAGAAGAATTAGAAGCTGGTAGTGACTCTTGCTACTATTATTTTGTTACCCTCTACAGCTGATTGACATAGATAAAACAATATTTCTCCATTCATCTCACTAACTAAAATCACATTATTATAAGGATGGAGCTTACAAAATTTTTGGCTCCCAGTAGCTGGTGCAAAGGAATTAACTCTGGGTTTTCAACTACTTTTGAGAGATTCTGTTCTGATCAGCATCCATGAGAAAGAAAAAAAAATATGTATACATATATGTGTGTATACATATATATACTGCATATATAACCCTACAAATTACATATAATAGATATTAGTAAAGATATGTCTACTAATAGTTAATAGGAGTAGCGTAGATGATGTAACACACAGAGTTGGCTTTCTGTATCCGTAGATTCAACTGATGAGGATCAAAATTATTTGAAAGAAAAATGTGTCTGCCTTGAACATATATAGGCTTTTTTTGGTTATTATTCCTTAACTAATATAGTTTAACAACTATATCCTTAGTTTTACATTTTCATAATACATTTATATTGTATTAGGTGAGTCATCTCAAGATGATTTAAAGTATATGGGGAGGATGGAGCAGGTTACATGCAAATGCTACACTATTTTATATAAGGGACTTGAGAATCTGCAGATATTGGTATCCTCAGGGGTCCTGGAACCAATATCCCAAAGATATTAAGGGATGACTGTACATGCCAAGAACATCCCATTCTATAATGCATCTTCTGATGTAATCTTTAAGTCTGCCTAACACGAAATGATACCAAAATACTCCTGCTATAATATGGGTACTTAAGTCTTTTGATCAGGGATAATCATAAGCAATGGGAAAGTCTATGGTTACAGCCCATTTAGAATGGGAATGTGAATTTCCTTTCCCTGTGCCAAGCCCAAAAATGGCTGATGTAATTTAGCTCAAATATTCCCCAGGGATTTGGCTTTCAAGCGGCGCCTATTTCAGCTCCAAAGAACGTCAAAGCCAACTCTGAGGAAGAGCTGGGGGGCAGAAACAAACACAAGCCACTCTGGAAACCCAACTGCTTTGGCTGCTGATTATGAGGATGAGGGTATAATTTATTATATACCACAGCTTCAGATGCCACAGAT